ACACATATAAATAGTCCTACTATGTTTATTGATCGGTACAAAAATGTATAAAAATGAAGATTGGGTTTTCGAAGAGTTCGATTAGACAAATAAAAGACGTCGACGTTTTCTAAAATCCTCTTACCTTCGGAACTCTGGCTGAAAAAAAATGTAGTTACACTGGAAAATACAAGAATGTTATATTCGGTTTTAAAAAGAGAGTGAATGAACCTTAAAACACAGTCTTGGATTCGTACAAAGACGATGCGGATTATGAAGGTAATATTGTATTTGCCAACCGTTCAAATAAAGTTACTGCTACGCATTTTCACACAAATACTATAAGGAACAAAAATGACCCCGGTATGATACAACTAGATTATTAGTTTACATTAGTTATCAATGTAATTAGAAATCGATTTTCCCTGGTCCAGGGTTGAGTTTGTACACTAATGTTTTGTTGGTTACAATTCTGGTCAAGTCACGACTCTTTAGTGACAATTATGCCCTTTACACCACGCGAATTTTTTTTTTTTTAATTTTGTTTGGTTTGTAAAAACCCCATATAATTCCTAGTTTCTCCAAACTGACTCTACAGATACGAAATGTCATATTAAATACAAACTACTAAGTCATGTAAACTTCTTCAATAAACTCAAGCGTTCTATTTTATGCATATATATGAATTGCTTGTATAATAGCCGGATATACTTTTTATATAAAGGCGTGTCCGGTACTATGTTTTGCGGTAGGACAAAAGATTTGGGTAGTTCCTAGGATGAACGACGTTGTCGAGTACCTCGAGTTTACGAAAAAGAGAACGCCCAAATAGTGTTCCTACTTCAGGAAAAAAATAAAGGACAAAATTTGTGTACACGAGAGGTCAATTGTCCATCGAGACTCACAATGGGCTCCGAAGCGATTACATTGTTTTCTGCTCTAATAGCAGTTTGTGGAGTGCCGTAAACAAAGACTATTCGTTGAAGACACCCCAAGGTGGTTAGGCTTTAACGCAGTATAGCCGTCGTTTAGACAATAGGAGGCGAGCAACAATGGGTGCAAAAAATATTTCTAAAACCCATTGTGTGGCCCCAGCCCTCCTGTGTTATAAATACATATTTTGTATTTTCACCGTAAAACGTACTATGTCCAGGGGAAATTGTATAATGACAAACAGTATACAAGATGTTTTCTTCCTTTTCTCCGACCTTACAAAAAGATTTGTTTCTGTGTGTATAATAAAAATGACAACTATATTATATGAAATTTTCGCAAACAAATTGTAACTACGACTTTGTCTTGTTTTATATATTTAGCTATAATCTATGTCTTTGAGTAACATGATGGTTGAAACACCGTGCTGAGCTCGGGGTCGTCGTCGCACGACAACCTTCTAGACGTAAACTTACACCTGACCTTTCCCTATTGGACTTACTTCAGTTACCCAATGAAGTTCCCTATAATTCATTTTACCTCAATAAGTATTTGTTATAGGTGTTAGTGGGACAAAAGTCACAGGCCGACCTTCCTAAACACCGTGTTATCGCGGCCCAATTACTTACTTTTAGTTTGTCGTGCTATGTTAAGTTCCGGAAAAAAAATGTGTTATCGTTTTATTCAAAAATATGGGTGTAACAGACGAAAAAAAATTGACATTAAATATTAATCAGAATAGATAAAGTGTGTTCGCTTTTAATTTCCTTTCGCCGCATTCTCCGTTTTATTTTCTACAAAAGTTATTTTTATAGAGTTGTACCCCTAGATCCAGTCTCTAGTAATTCTGCTCAAAGTGCACCAGATTGAAGCATTTTACTTTAAAATGTTAAAACAAATCTTTCCGGGGCGGGACATACCCCCGGACCCCCCTAGAGGATGTGACCTCCACCCCCCAATTAAAACATGTTCATACAATAATGAACACATTTGAAACCTTCTTTATGTATATAACCGACATGTCAATACGTTTCAGTTTTTGTAGTATATTGGTCTTTTGTAGAGATTTTTCATTTATTCTTTATATATTCTATTGTGTATTGCTTGGAGGGGTGGGGGGGGCACCAAATCATAGTCTTGCCTAGGGCACCAAAATGTCTAGGACTGGCCCTGCCCACAGACAGTCATTGAATAAAAGTGCTGTACTTAATTACACATTCAATGTACTAACCTTGATCATTTGCATTTAAAAAAAAACGTAAAGATATCCTTGACGTGTTTTCTGTTCTTACTGTGTTCTGTATTTACTTTCTATGACTCAAAGTCATCACATAGTCAACACTGGGTTTTCCCGGCACAATGTTCGATGACTCAACTTTATAAACAAACTTATGAATGATCTTAGTTTGATTTTGTTTTTTGTGCTCTGGAACCGTATGACTTTCTAAAATGCTAAACACCAAAAATGTATAACTTAATATCACTTCCTTTAGGATAGTATATACTGTATGTGTACTGCAGTGTATACCCATTAGACCTTTCTAAAGTGTCCTGTCTAACTTGTGTTCGATACAAAGTGATTTGTTATAATTATTCTAATAATTATTTAAAACATGTGTTGTATTGCTTTTAGAACTTTATTTATTTATTATTTTTGTTATTATTATTATTATTATTGTTATCATCATCATCATCATCATCATCATCATCATTATTATTGTTATTTAAAAATATGTTGCATCACTTTTAAAACTGTATTTATTTCTTTATTATTTCATGTATTATAATGACGGTATAATTTTCTTTATCCAATGGATCCTTGATTTCAAACCACTCTTGCATTAATATAGCTTGGATGACCTAATTGATGTTTAATGGTCTTTATATCTGAAACGTAAATGAGTAATATTCCCTGGTCCTGAATGTTAGTGACGCGCGACGAGACGGACGAAGCATACGCTAAACACTGAGGGAGCGTGGATCCTCTCCCTGCAGTAAAAGACAAATACTCAGTAAACAGCTGTGGCCAGAGTGTGCGGCCAAATGTGAAGTCTGAAACGACCGACATGCCAGGTAAGTTCACTCTTTTCAAAATCCATTGTCACCATTTATCTTTTACTTTAACTCTGAGGCTTCCTGTGTGTGTTTCCTCAGATCCTTCTGTACAGTGAGGAATATCAGGACTGCCTGGACAGCTGCCAGCACTCTAAAAACAGAGACCATCCTCGCAGAAGCAGCGCTGCGTTATACAAAAAAAAGGTAGGACATTTTATAATTCTGTTAATATAATAGTTTGATTGATATTTGATTCAATTTAATTTAGTTTTCTTTTCTTTTACACGGTAATACGAGTGACTTATTAACCTAAAAGGACCCACCGTGACACGGGTGTCACCATGCCATTAAATGTTTCTGGAAAGCTTATCACAGCTTTAGCCTTATATCAGCTTCTTTTTTTTATCCTCATGGAGTCCGTAGCGACAAACACTGACAAAGTCCTGTGGGTCATGGTCCAGGTCAATGTGATCTTTGTGTTTCCATGACAACATGTCCAAGCGCATGTGGCCAGCAAACAACATGGACAAGAACTAGCACATTTCAAAGCTTTTTTTTGTGCTAAAGGTAAAATTCAAGGCCATTTAAGAAATGAAAATGCTTACATAACATGTCTTTATTAAATTAACCTGTGTGGAAACATTTCTTGATNTCAACTCCGAGTCCCTCCCTGATGACCGAACTTCTCACCTTATCCCTAAGGGAGACACCAGCCACCCTGCGGAGAAAACCCATCTCGGCCGCTTGTACCCGCGATCTCGTTCTTTCGGTCATGACCCATCCTTCATGACCATAGGTGAGGGTAGGAACGAAAATGGCGCGGTAGACAGAGAGCTTTGCCTTCTGGCTCAGCTCCCTTTTCGTCACAACGGTGCGGTAAAGCGACTGCAGTACCGCTCCCGCTGCTCCGATTCTCCGACCCATCTCACGCTCCATTGTTCCCTCACTCGAGAACAAGACCACGAGATACTTGAACTCCTTCACTTGGGGTAAGGACTCATTCACTACTTGGAGTGGACAGTCCATCGGTTTCCTGCTGAGAACCATGGCCTCAGATTTGGAGGTGCTGATCCTCATCCCAGCCGCTTCACACTCGGTTGCGAACCGATCCAGTGAGTGCTGAAGGTCGCAGACCGATGAAGCCATCAGAACCACATCATCTGCAAAAAGCAGTGGTGGTTTCTTAAATGCTTGAAACCTCAAATGTATATTTTAATATCACTTCCTTTAGGAATGTTTATACTGTATGTTTATTTGTACAGTAGGTATGTGCAGTGTTTATAACCATTATACCTGTCTAAGTTGTGTTTCACACAAAGTGATTAGTTTATAAATATTCTAATAATTATTTAAAAATATGATGTATTGCTTTTAGAACTTTATTTATCTCCATCATTATTATTTGAAAATATGTTGCAGCCGTTTTAAAACTTTATCTATTTATCTATTATTATTATTATTATTATCATCATCATTACTTGCATTATTATTAGTATTATAATTAATAATATTACTATTATTAATTTTATTAATATTATTTAAAATTATGTTGTATCACTTTTAAATCTGTATGTATTTCTTTATTTTATGCATTATTGTTATTATAATTACTATTATTTATTATTACTTGCTTTATTAATCTTTGAAAATGTTCCTTAAATGGGATAATTTTTTTTCCAATGTATCCTTGATTTCAAACCACTCTTGCATTAATATAGCTTGGATGACCTAATTGATGTTTAATGGTCTTTATATCTGAAACGTAATGAGTTAATATTCCTGTGTCTGATGTCAGTGAGCGGCGACGAGACGGACAGCTACGCTAAAACTGAGGGAGCGTGGATCCTCTCTCTGCAGAAAAGACAATACTCAGTAAACACTGTGGCCGAGTGTGCCGCCAAATGTGAAGCTGAAACGACCTGGACATGCAGGTAAGTTCACTCTCTTTAAAATCCATTTCACCATTTATCTTTTACGTTTAACTCTGAGCTTCCTGTGTGTTTCCTCAGATCCTTCCTGTACATTGAGAAGGATCAGGACTGCTGGACAGCTGATGCAAACTCTAAAACAGGGGGCCTCCTGCGCAAAAGCAGCGCTGCGTTATACGAAAAAAAAAGTAATATTAAAAAAATATGTTTTTTTTTTGTTTTTTTTTTAAATTGTATATATCTATTTTTTTAATTTTTTTTATTTGTATTGTATTCAAACAAACATTTGTATTGCTATTTTTTATGTATTTTATTACAAGTTCTGTAAATGTAATAGTGACTTATTAAATCACAATAAAATAAATTAAATTAGCAAACAATACAATAAATACATAAATAAAACATTTACATATAAATATTGAGTTGACAAATCTAATAAAGAAATGGTAATCAGTTCTATCGAGTTGTGAGATATAAAGTGTCTGGTTTAAATGTATATATGTTTAGCTTATCAATCAGCTTATCAACATGAATTCCTAACATGGAGATAATTCATGTTGATAAGCTGATTGATAAGCTAAACATATATACATTTAAACCAGACACTTTATATCTCACAACTCGATAGAACTGATTACCATTTCTTTATNCTGTGTGCCTTGGCAGTCTCAGTAGAAGAGACATGGAGAAGAGGGGACACATGTTGATGTAGAAGAGACATGAAGAGGAGGGGGCACATGTTGATGTAGAAGAGACATGGAGAAGAGGGGACACATGTTGATGTAGAAAAGACATGAAAAAGTGGATTTTGCATAATAGTTGACCTTTAAAAGTTGAGTACAAGCTCCTTTAAAATGTACTTATGAACATTACTTGAGGATATGTACTTCACTTTCCAACACTGGAAATGACCCAAAAACACACATAATAAATGTTTTTTACCGGTGCAGCTGGGCACGTCGCAGCTTTCCCAGCGGGTGTTGGAGTCGGTGGTGTAGCACCAGGGTCCGCCGCTGTCTACGTCCGGGTTTCTGCAGAAGTTTGACTCTAAGTCTGCTCTGGGTTGCTCATCCGGTGTGAAGCTGCACACACACATTGAGAGAATTCATAGTAAAGTAAATAGATAGATAGATAGATAGATGGATAGATTGATTGATAGATATATGATAGATAGATGGATGGATGATAGATAGATAGATGGATGGATGGATAGATAGAGACAGATAGATAGATGGATGGATGGATAGATAGATGGATGGATGGATGGATAGATAGATAGATAGATAGATAGACAGACAGACGGATGGATGGATGGATGGATGGATGGATGGGTTGGATGGATGGATAGATAGATAGATAAATATATATATATATGGATAGATAGATAGATAGATAGATAGATAGATAGATAGATAGATAGATAGATAGATAGATGGATAGATAGACTGACAGATAGATACATACTTTATTGATCCCAATTTGGGAAATGTTTGCGTTGCTGCAGCATAAAAAAAAAAGCAAGGCAATGTACATAAGAGAAATTAAGACATAAGAAATAAACAGTCCAAAATATTTCTGAAATAGAAATATAATAGCATTAAAAGTAAAAATATATATACGTGGATGTGGAAATACAACTTTTCAGTAACAAATATAATGCAGATAGATCACATACAGTATATAAAGATATCATGTGAAATTATGTGTAAAATAAGATTGTGAGTACATACTTGGGCCTGTGCGGGTATTTAGCTTCCCATCTCTGGCAGATCTTCCCTGTTTTTGATTTGCTTTTTGTTCCTCTGTAATCTGTTCCTATTCCATTAACACACTCCAGGAGGTATACTGCACGAGACAGACACAACAACACACACATCGTTATTCAATCCATGAAATGATTGTGTAGTGCGCTGTTGAGTACACTATTCAATCATTGATCTGATCCCACTCAATTGATGTCTGTATCCCCAGAATTCACCGTATTCACAGTAGTGTTAATCTGCTCAGTGTTTGCAGACAGTCCAAACATCACTGATCACGCAGCATACGGGCTAAACATTAACCATCAGTGTTTGGACAGTTACTTTTCTAATGAAATAGGTCAAAAGGTACCCCTAACATGGAGATAATTCATGTTGATAAGCTGATTGATAAGCTAAACATATATACATTTAAACCAGACACTTTAAACCTCACAACTCGATTGATAAATGTTTATTTACTATAACTTGAATTACTGTATAATTAGAACAGAGCACAACAATCAATGTTATAATGTACTACATTTTCTCAGTGATTCGAACTGATGACCATTTATTTCTTTATTTTTTCATTAATTTATTCATATATTTATTTATTTGGTCTCTCTTTCTAGCCCTGATTACAAATATGTTTATTATATTTATTTATTCAATATTTATTAATTTTTTCTATTAATTTATTTGTTATTTTTGTATTTATGTACTTATTTAATTGTAATAAGAACCCGGACCCATTTCTACTTTTGGGAAAATTAAGGGGAACATAATTTAGACTAAATAGACCACCTAGAACACATTTCTCAAGTACCCCCCCCCTAGTGTCACATATCTGAAATGTGACATATACAGTATATCACAATGGGCTTTAATGGTAATATAACTATTATTTATAACTTAATTAATGAGGATGATTTTTTGGTTTAAATTAGTTTGAACCTTCTTTGAATTGAAGAATAAAGAATCTATTAACTAAATATAATTGAATCAGCTAAATTAACTGAGCAGATCATAATCATATTTCTAATTGTGCATATATGTCACTTTGGGTTTACTGTGAAAGTTTAGGGTTAAAGTCCCGATCAGTGTCACAGCGATGTTTGTCTCATTTGTTTCATATCAATTTGATCAAGAAATGTTTCCACAACAGGTTAAATTTAATAAAGGACATGTTATGTAAGCATTTTCATTCTTAAATGGCTTGAATTTAACCTTTAGCAACAAAAAAAAGCTTTTGAAATGTAGCTTGTTCTGTTACATGTGTTAGTCTGGACATCTTGGACATGTTGTCATGGAAACACAAAGTCACATGACCTGGACCATGACCCACCAGATTGTTCAGTGTGTGTCAGCTAGGGACTCCATGAGATAAAAAAAAAAAGAAGCTGTATAAGGCTAAAGCTGTATAAGGAACTTTCCAGAACATTTAATGGTCATGTGACACCCGTGTCACGGTGGGTCCTTATAGGTTAATAAGTCACTCTATTACATGTGATAAAAGAAAAAGTAAAGAAAAGAAAACTAAATTAAATTGAATCAAATATCAATCAAATATATATATTATAACAGAAATTATAAAATGTCCTACCTTTTTTTTCGTATAACGCAGCGCTGCTTCTGCGCAGGATGGTCTCTGTTTTAGAGTTTGCTGCAGCTGTCCAGCAGTCCTGATCCTTCTCAATGTACAGGAAGGATCTGAGGAAACACACACAGGAAGCTCAGAGTTCAACGTAAAAGATAAATGGTGAAATGGATGTTATAGAAAGTAAACTTACCTGCATGTCCAGATCGTTTCAGCTTCACATTTGGCGGCACACTCGGCCACAGTGTTNNNNCAACATGTGTCCCCTCTTCTTCATGTCTCTTCTACATCAACATGTGTCCCCTCTTCTTCATGTCTCTTCTACATCAACATGTGTCCCCTCTTCTTCATGTCTCTTCTACATCAACATGTGTCCCCTCTTCTTCATGTCTCTTCTACATCAACATGTGTCCCCTCTTCTTCATGTCTCTTCTACATCAACATGTGTCCCCTCTGTGTGAAGAGAGAAAAGTTTCAGGAAAAAAAGTTTCTCTCTTTGTTGTCCTGATCCATTTATATAAAAACCTGTCTGAAAATGAGCTGATCAGATTTTACTGCCCTAACATCTTGCAGGAAACAGTGTCTGAGGGCATTTTCATTTAATAAATTATGAATGTTTTATATCCATGTAACGGGAAGAAACTCATCTAACTGATCATTTAATTTTTTTTCTTTTTAAAACCCCACAATGCTAACGATGAGCCTCTGAATTAGCAACGAGCGAAAAATGCTAACAGATGACTGCACCGAAATTCACTCACAAAACCTTATTATGTATCTTTGCTGCACATCCATGACATCG